CAATGCCCCAGCAAGGCCACTCTCTCAACTGTGCGTTTCCTGCTTGGTTTCATGACTGCGTGGCCCGGAGGCTCTACCGGTCCTTCTGGCAGCCTGGCTTAGATGCTTCCAGGCGAAGGGGGCGCCTTTCGGGGCAGCAGAGCCAGAGAAGAGGTTCTGGAGCCCAGGAGCCCATGAAAAATGGGGCCGCCCAGTCCAAAGTCCACGTACAGAAGTCAGTTGGATAGGCAGTTGAATGGGAGGATGAGACAGCTGGGGATGGGGGGGATAGAAGGAAGATGCATGGGGCACTCACAACACACTGGTTGGCCTGAGGCATGCCAGTTTTGCACGCTGTAATGCAGGAACAACAGTGGAACTAAGTTGCCTGGGTTCACACCAAGGTTAGCAACACACGGCTGCAGCACGCCATATGCAACCCTGGGAGACGTTTGGGGAAGGCCTGGTTCAAAAGGCTGGATTTCCTGGGGCACACTGAACTGCAAGTTATATTTTCATCCAAATTAGCTGTGCCAACCCAGTGTCAACGGGGGAAGAGATCACACTGAGGCCACCGAGCCTGACTCAGTGCAGAAATCCAAACTGAAGCCACCGATGTGCTTCACCTGAATTGCACCCCGCTTTAAGGATTGCTTTTAATTAATTATTGGGATTAAAGAACCACCAAATCAATAAATAGGTGAGGAGTAGCATTAGTAGCATTTAACGAACGTTCATTTGAAATGGGGTAAAAATGGACAGCATGGCTGCCACCCACCCACTCACCAGCCAAGGGCAGCCTTGGCCCCCCCATTGTACACGCACAACCCTAAAGGCAGCGTTGCCTCTGAAAAGAGAACGTGGCTCGCAGGCCATGCTGGAGGCCATTCCCTGGTCCTCTCAGGGTTATGGATCCTCTCGCAGGAAGGCCGCCCCCCATTTGCCCCCTCTTGGGGCAAACCGAATCCTGCAGTTGCCGGAGCTGCTAAGCAGGTAAGAGTTTTCCGAAGCTCCTCCCGGGAAGAAGCGTAATGCAGGGCCCTCGGGACGATGCCCTGCAGCACAACGTGGGAACCGGCGACTTCCCACCTACACTCCAAATCTACGAAGTCTAGAGGGCATCTCTGCCTATCTGGCAGAGGTGGGCATCGGGGCCGGGATATCAGTCTGGGGCTGTGGAATGGGTGCACGCGTTGCGTGGTCTTGTGCCTTCACTGAGCCTCGAGCTCGTTTCATTTGGCTTTAATGGAAAAAACACTTCGTTTCTTCCTTGTTCACTGCCCAGAGTGTCTTAACAGCCATATAAATTGGCTTAATAAATAAATAAAATAAAGAAACCTGATCGGGCAGCAGAAAATAGGATGATGGTTGCCATTTCATTTCTACGTACAGTGACCCTATGTTCTTGGAAGAAATAAAGGACAAACCTGACAAAGGGGCAAATCTGACAGAGGCGCACAAGGATTAAAAAAAATGTTTATAACTTGGCTCTACCAAGGAAAATTCAAGAGCAAAACCAAGAAAAGCAATAATTAAATTAGAGAAATCAGCTTTCTGAAATAAAGGACCGTCCTGTATAAGAAAGGACGTGCGGTTGCCGTATTTCTACACCACCCTTCCTAAAAGGCTCAAGAAGGTGGCCTGAGGCCCAACTGGTGGGTCAAACTGGCAACTAGAAAACATGCCCTGCTCGGAGGACACGCAACTGTCCTTTTACTTCTGCTACTGCTGAGCCCCATGTCACCGGAAACACGCCACCGGGAGTAGCATCTACCCTCTGCTCGCTCCGTCTCTCACGTGCACACACCACACGCGATGCGTGCTGTGGCATCAGGGGAGGAGCTGAGCGTCACTTCCCTGATCTTCAAAGCAAGAACTTCCTTGGTCAGCAAACTAGGGGAGGTGCAAAGAGCTATGCAGGAGTTTTTCACTGCAAGACACAAGTTTAATAGTAATCATCATCATCTTAGTAATAACAGCTAGCAGCTGTATAAAATATTTGCATAGGGGAATTTGCTTTCCCAAACAAAGAGTCTTGGTGGATCCAGATGTTTATTCTTGGATTACAATAAACCAGCCTTCCTTCTCCTCCTCCAAATGGGTTGGCCTTCAACCCCATAATCCCCAATCCTGTAACCATCGAAGCATTTGCCAAACCTGTCCTCTCGCATCTGGTGGATGAGGGGAGGATCAGAGCTTGCAAAGAAACTTTGGACAATTCTACATTCTCTTGCTTCCTTCAAAATACAACTCCCCTCTCCCAAGAGACTTGTAAAAGAAGATACAGTTCCCAGAAAACTCTGGGAAACCTCTGCCCTTTTCTGGATGTTTTAGAGACAATCCTGACATTCGTTCTGGGCTTTGCTCGCTGCTTCTGCAATTAGCACTATGAATATTCAAAGAAGAAGCAGGGTCCCTCTCAAAATTCAGATTCTGGATGGGCTACAGCAGTGTTGTCCAAACTTGGCCACTTTAAGATGAGTGGACTTCAACTCCCAGAATTCCCCAGCCAGCAATCTTAAAGTCCACTCATCTTAAAGTGGCCAAGTTTGGACAACACTGGGCTAAAGGAAAGTATGAGTGATAACATGGTATCACCCTAAACACCATTTCAGCTGCAATTTAGAGTCACTTATCTTAGTCTAATCCCCACTGAAAACATCTGGATAACACACCTAACTCCAGTTAACAACACACAATGATTG